ATGTCATCCATTATTACTTTGCATGATGCATATTTAGCTGAAAGATTCTCTTTACACATGCCTAGTGGAAGATACATGTGTGTTTAGAACTGCTAACATGCGAACTTTGAAAAACTACGCTGCTATGATAAAGAAAATCCTACAAGTCCAAGAAGGTCTATGCGCTGATATCAATTACATACTGACATATACCCGTCAAACAAGTTCCCATGGCCGTCATAGATGGCCTGCCCACAAAGTATGTCTGAAAGGGTGGCCCTAATTTTCATCAAGGAGCTTTGAGTACACCATGTACTTTTTAAAATTATTGTGCTTATTATTGCTTTCACTTGAGTGTAGATGTAAGTACACACTAAGCTTTTATCCATCATACATTTTGGCACATTTCTTTAATTATTGAGCTTCATAAAATTTCAGGGGCTGAGATCGAAATCATATCATTAAAAAAAATTGGTTCCAGCAATTCTTTTCAAATTCTTTACAAAAAAATTTAGAAGATTTAATAACTGAAGATAAAAACATAACATGCTAAACACTACCTTCTGATGAAAAAGTACTTAAGTGATGACCAAAATTGAGACTTTTTTCGATCACCCTGATATGGGGATCTTCTTCACCTCCTGTCTAAACATATACGCCTGAGAAGAAAAAATTTGACTGCTAATGCAACCCGCAACAATGATCGTATAGCTCTTCCTTCGGTTTTTCCTTTTTCCCTTCATCTCCCCCCCCCTTCCAAAACTTAAGATTTTTCCTTTTCATGTCATAATGAGCCCATAGCACAGAAGTTTTCAAAAATGATTGGAATTCACGAAATTTCATTTTATGAAGTTACATATAAAATCTTGCATCTCTGGTTTGAACCGTATACCGAGTATAATTCCTTGGCGCGCACCTTGCGGAGCGCCTTCAACATCGTAGTTATGCTTCAAACCCGACACTCACGCTCCGATGTGTAATTTTCGCATGTTGCGCATGTCGGAGCGTATGTCCAGTTTAGAATTGCCCAAAAATTGAAAGATTTTAAAGCCGCGAAATTCATGTTTAAATCCGCAATTTTTATTTCCATGCCGAACTGAGAAGGGGATTTTTAATTCCATGAAGGCTTGATGGAAATGACTTGGTTTCCGTGTGAGTTGCATGGAAGTGTTATGAGTTCCATGTCGAGCTCACAAGGAAATATTTTCATTTCCATGAAGACTTGATGGAAATGACTTGGTTTCCGTGTGAGTTGCATGGAAACGTTATGATTTCCATGTCGAGCTCACAAGGAAATGTTTTCATTTCCATGACGGCTTGATGGAAATGACTTGGTTTCCATGTGAGTTTCATGGAAACGTTATGATTTCCATGTCGAAGGACATGGAAGTCAGACGATTTCCATGAAATCACATGGAAATCGGGTCATTTCCACGTGAATCCACATGGAACATTTTTAGCAGGGGTGAGGAGGATACCAGCTCCCGGGCCGGGGGCCGGACATGGCTGGGTGCGCGCTCGATTTCCGACAAAGCAGTGAAATTTTGCTTTCTCCTCTCCGCGGTGCGCGCGCGGCGACTCCCGTCTCCCGGCGCGGCGCCCCAGTCCGGGCGGCAGGGCCGTGGCCGCGCGGTCGCTGCACCGAGGCGGTCAGTAAAAGTGCGGCGCGCCATGCCCGTGCCAGATGATTATCCCGCAGTGCCGCTCCGCCGGATTAACCCCCCCACAACACGCCTCCGACAATGAGGAATCCAAGTATTTTCGGCGCATCCGGCAACGCTGGATTTATTGTTCTGGGTGCTCGCTTTTTCACTCTTCGCCATCTCCGGCACTCGTCCGTCGGATGGGCAGGAATCGCCAAGAACCAATGTTAGAGTTTTACCGTGTTAAGGAAAAACGCCGTATAAGCCATCAGACGTTGCAAAATTTACTTTTAAAAATCACGAATTTCCGGAAAAATTTGTAAATATTATTCCTCAAAGTCGTCCGAGAATTTTTTTTTGTAATTTGATGTACAGTGTCTGAAAATATCAAGGGAATATCTCTACGAATTTTTCAAAAGTAAACAAGTAAACAGTCTAACAGATGACGGATGAGCTACAGGTGATGCAATGTGCCAAAAAAGTTTACTAAACTTCGGCCCGGCCTGCGTGCTGAACTATGTGTTCAACACGCTGTTAAACATCCGCCTATAAATAGTAGGTAGGTCAACAGTTGAATGTTGAAGTCACGCGAAAGTAGAAGCCTCCACGTCCACCACTGCCAAGATACCAAAGGAAGATCTCACCTCGTCTCCTTGTAAACTACACGGGGGAAAAACGGTTATTGGCTTTAAGAATTCATGGTAGTAGACTTTTGGATGTTGGTGATTGTAATAATGGGTAAAGTGATGTTATAACGTATACAATATGATGTTGCTGTGTCCTAAGTAATACTGAGCTATGGCACTCCTCCGCAATTGCGCCTACGTAAGTGCAGCCGGCGACTGAAACGAGTTTCGCCTTCACTTTCCGAAGTAGGCAAAATGGCCTCTCACGTGGTCGAATAGTGGTATTACTCCTAAAATACCATTGAATGTCCACGGAGTACCAAGACACTCGTGCCATGCAGTGCTAGCTAAAGCACGTTTCGCCTTCACTTTTCGAAGTAGGCAAAATGGCCTCTTACATGGTCGAATAGTGGTATCGGTGCAAACATGTTGGGTTTTGTATTACTTTAGTTTTATTACGTCTTAAAACATTTTTGTTTGTTACTTGGCCCACTATAATTGTCGTTACTAATTTGACTATTTGCCTGAATAGTAACAAGTTTCACCTTTTTCCAAGAGACCACACGACACTTTATCAAATGTAATTTTGTCACAAACGGAATGGACGCTACAAATTAGCAATCAATATCTTCGTACGTCAAAAATTGATTCGTGAAAATAATATTGGCATCTCTTAAAGATACTCACTTTTTCCGGATCACTGTTTGAAGTGACGCAACTATCTGTAACAAAGAAAACAAAACAGTTCATCAAACCGTGCAATAAAGTATAATGATACACACAGCAATTAATTTGAACGATAAGATAAAAATTTCGAAATCTACACGAAATGAAATGGACACGATGAAATCAGGTGCGTTGACAGAAAGGATTCTGTTTCAACCAAAGATTCTTATACTCACGAATAACTATGAATAAATTATGTTTGAGATTCCATAGTTGACTGTGAAAGAGGAAATAAGCAAGGAACAATAAAGGAAAGAAAGATAGAAAAGGAACAACAAGCAAAAGAAGAGGAAACAAGCTATCATAATCACTTGAAATGTTTAATTGGTTGCTCTCTTACGCCCTAAGATGGAAATCCAGGAGGGGTACTTTAATTCTGGTTGCATTTTATGTAAAACAACAGAAAAAGACAAAATACTTTTACTATCATGCTAGGGTAGAACTCCGTATGATCATTCGAGAGTTGCCAAATCTCCCTGGTAAAAATTGGCGATAAGATCTGCGTTTCAAAATACCATGGGAATTCTTATAGCCGGCTAAAGAAGGCTACAGAAACTCATATAGCTGGCTGTAGAATGCGGAGAAAATCATACGGCCGGGCTATACGAAGCGATAAAAAATTATGCAGCCGGGCTATAGTTCCTATCGCCGGGCTTTACACTTTATCGCCTGGCGGTTGCTATTTCGCCATCGATTATAAAAGGCTATAAGAAATAGTGTAGAAATTCGTGTACTTTGGAAATCATGAAGTTTGATACGGAACCACCTTAATATTTACAAAACACTCATTATATTTTCCTTTAATACATATTTTTTTTAATCAATTAGAATGAGAATAATCCATACAGGATGTGCAAACATTTCAAAATCATGAGTTGAATAACGCTGACTCCGCCAGATGAAATATTAGAGCCTAACACAAAGCGGAGCGGCGACGCACTGGCGCCTACAAACCTAACAGGGATACTTCACGCATTGCGCAACGCGTGATGTATCCCTGTTAGGTTTGTAGGCGCCAATGCGTGTTTCGCACTAGCTGCCCGCCTGCCACGGCGCTTGAAGCAACTATTTCACACCAGAGGTATTGCACAGTATCATACAAAACTGAAGGCGCTGTAATATATTAGTAATGACAGGCATCCATCAAAAGTACGGAGCTTTCCGCGCAAAATAAATCAAGATAATACGGCCCAAAAAGAGAGCAGTATTCCAAAAACTCACTAAGTCCTGGCATCCGTAATTAGTAACGTTTAGCTTACACTTTAGCGCCTGGCTGTTGCTTAATCGCCGTCGGCTATAAAAGGCTATAAGAAATTGTGTAGCCGGCTATAGAAGCCATTGGAAATCTTACAGCCGGCTGTAGGTCTATGGTATTTTGGAACACAGATTTTACTGCCAATTTTTACCAGGGCTCCCCGGATTATCATGTATTTTTGAGGACATGTATGTGTATCTCACCTTAAAATGTTCAGATGATTTAGATTGAATTGCGAACAAAATAGTCTGAGAAATTGGAAGAAAAACATTCACAATTTCTCCAATAAAGTCGTATTTTATCAGAGGAAATGCGGGAACGCCTATGGAGGTTCATACGGCGTTTTCCCTGAGCAAAGCAGTTTAGGTTTGTGCTCATCATACACTGAAAAAAATTCTCGGCGTTTTTACCAAGGTCCGTTGGTACCTTCACCACCTCACTTTTTTTACCAATTATTGGTAATTTTACCAAGACAGACTGGTAAGCTTACCTAAAAACCGGTATTTTTACTGTTTTTTTTTTTTTCAGGGAAGAATACCACTCTTATTGGTAAGCAATTCTCGGTAACTTTGCCATTTTATCTCGGTAGTTCTACCATAGTCGATAAAAAATATTGGCGTTTTTACCGGGGTCCAGTAAAATTACCGAGAAAGTTCAATAGTTTTGGCGAGATTTCTCGGTAAAATTACCAATTCCATAAATGGTCATTTTACCAAGAAAAAACTGGGATCAAATGGACTGGATTTTGCAATTAGGAACTATAAATTCTATCTCGGTCTAAAAACAACGTATGTGCCATTAGTTTCCCTATGCATACAAGTGTTTTTTCAGATGAGCCAAAATTTATAGTTCAAAATTGCAAAATGCAGTCCAAATAGAACCCTGAATTCGTGGTAATTTTACCCTTTTCTTGGTAAATACACCGAGATTTTTTTTTCAGTGTACGCTGTTGGACCAATCGATCGAAGACCCGGGCGAAGGGCAGTGACATCAAGAGGCAAGAGGCACGTCCAGCTCGGCAAAGCAAATCCGACTGAAGAAGCGTTGCCGAATCTCGATAAAATTAGACTAATAATCCATATGCGATGCTTCAATGCACAACAGTTTTTTTTAATCTCGCAACGAGGTTCCCGAGTCCTGGCACAAGGTACAGGATTCTTGATGCGGAGGAAAAGGAGAACAATAGCAGGAAGTGCATCAGTGTCCCCTTATGTCGAGTGCATTGCTAGGAACACAGTCGCCAGACTGTTGGAGCCCTGTCGGTTACCCCGACAAGAAAAACCAGAGGGTTCTCCTTGAAGCTCATGCGACTTCACCCCTGGCGGTTTCTGCGCTATCTGAGTTGAGGGATGTCATTCAACAGAACAAGTCTGAATTATAGTTTAAAAATTTTAAATTGTGAACACATTTTTAGCCGAAAAATCGTCAATTCGCCTAGTAGAGCTTTAGATCAAAAAGAAGAACAAGTCGTCAAGAACACCGACACCAGACTATATGAGAACCTGGTCCTTCTCTCGAGAGAGTAAGGTGAATTTACGTGAAAGATTGAAAATCATCACTGATAATAGAGGTGAGCTTTAGGTACAACATTAAATGGAGGAATAATAGTCACCGAGATTTATCTCCAAATTTTTCTATAAATTAAATTAATTTTGCGAAACTAGTGAAGAACGAAGGAACCAAGGGTGTCACTGCCGCGGTGGATGACGTCAAAAACCCGACTTTTCAAAGGGCGATACCTCGGTTATTACTGAACCTAGAAAGATGCGGTTTGAACAGATCTTATTATTCTTGGCTAATCTACAAGAATCCAGCATCAAAACACGATTTTGTGACCAGCGCAATTGACCTAATAGGGGATGCTCGGCTGATTATCTTTTCCGCACAAAGTGCATTAGTGGTAATTTTTCCGATTATCGTTGCCGCACAAAATCATTTTCGCGAAGATAATTTTCTGTAATATGCGGCAACGTCGAGAAAAATATGAGGCATATTTCAGAAAAACGAGCGAATAAAGATTGAAGAAATTATTGATGTTGCCAGATGTTTGAGATCTGCTTTGTGCGGAAACGATACTCTGAAAAATTACCACAAATGTACTTTGCGAGGAAACGATATTCTGCCGTTGGGTCAACCGCTTGCCGCGGCAACGCTGGTGCAAAGAGCTGTCATTCATCGGCTTCTCGGGCCGACAATGGTGCTGTCATACTCGTGGGCGAGATGCAGTATGCCATGCGGGAAGACGGGCCGCGCCGGGAGACACGCCAAGGGGACTGGAACCACGAGAGCCCAACGCCACTGGAGAGGTCTTGTAGTGCCCGGACCGGCTCCGGCTATACGCCGACCCTGAGATGCAGCCGTGAAGGTCGCCGTTTTGAGTTCCTCGAGGGCACCTTAAGAGGCGTCGAGTGTTTGTCTGCACAAACACGTATTCGTATCTTTTATTCCGCGTGTAAACACTCCTTCGGCCCGCATCCAAGAGGATACAGTGGGCTCGTGTTTCCTATTCAGAATTTGTGCATCAAACAATAAAACAAAGTAACCAGAATGGAAAATTTGCACACAAATGGCCTGGTTACACGCTCAAATTTCCGTCAAATTCCGAACAAAATGATGACCAAAATGACGGTCGAGAGTTATCTAGATTGATGAGTAAAATTAATTAAAACAGCGTGTTGATTGAAATAAGCATGAAATAAGCACGGTTGTGTGGAAATCAGATGAAGGATGAGCCCCACAGCTCCATCATCTACCACCAAATTTTTGCAGGCCGCAGAAATTTGATGGTAGATGGTGCGCACTAGTCACCATTTGATCGGAAATTGATGGAAATTTGAGCGTGTAACCAGCACGTGAAACGGTAAAACCAAGTAACCAGAATGGAGAATTCGCACACAAAAATTTTATTGCTTTTGAGAGTGCCTAATGAGGTGAGTTCGCAGGATTTTTCATAACATTTTTCTGACATGGGAAATTGGGGAAAATTTGATTTAAAACCGAGAAAATGTGCCGCCTTACGACGCCATCTGCCGGCATGATCCATTTAAACACATGTATTTTAGCAGATTAGGTTATTATGTCATATTTCTTTTAGCAATTGTGCAATTTAGAAACCAAGGATATCCTCGTGCTCAGTTTCCCTAGCAGTATCATTTTAAATATCAACAAATTTAAGGCACCTGCAAATTCTGTATTCTGTGCTAATATGGGAAGTAAAACACGAAATAACACAAGTTGCATTGGTTAATATTTTTGTGTTAGTTTGCCATGCGTCAAACCGACCAAATCTTTGGGTTGCAGCAAAGACAAGAGACCCTACACTCGTATCTCGGCTATGGTGGAAGCTTTTACTTTCGGGACTTCAACATTAAACTGGTGACTTACCTACATGGTTGATGTTCAACAACGTGTTGGCAGTTTCGTCTTGCAAACAAGCCGAAGTTTGGGAAACTTGTTTGACTCACGACGTCACCCGAAGCTCACCTTCATGTAGGCATAGGTCATTAGCCGAAAAAAGAGTGCTGACTGTTGCTCCCTTATAATTGTCCATAATGTTGAATCCCCGAAAGTAAAAGCTCCTACCTGTCGGCAGAGGCTAGTGGAGGGTTTCTTGTCTCTGGGTTGAAGTGAACAAATCTTTGTGTTGTAGATCTGTAATCTTGTCAAAAATTGAACCACTTTTGTTTTCTTGTATAAAGTACAATTCTACCAAAGTAATACAGGATGAAGGGATCGTCTGTG